ACATCCAGTTGTTGCTACATTTTTATCATTAACTTAAAATTAGGAATAACATCTTACTACTAATGCACAACATTTGAAGGACATCACAGCATGCGTTGAGTTGAGAACACTATATCAATTAAATTAAATTTACTTCATTTGTCGGTGATTTCACGGTGTACCTACTTATAGCAAACATTTTTTTTTTTATATTTGTTGGGTCGATGTTTGACCACTATCTCGCCTGATTTGTACTTAGGTATAAAATTAATAACTACATACATTATGTCGAGTCTGTTACAAGCATTACTTATCTACTCTCATGTCATCGCCAATGTACTAGTTTTTATTCTGAAATAAACATTTTCGTTGTTTCTGCTACATAATCGTAATATTGTATTTTCTGCCCACGCATTACTGGTATGTGCTGATAAAACAGTACAAGTAACAATTCAGGAATTCCCCTACTAGTATTGCCAGTAATTTGATTTTGGAAATAAGTCAAAGTCAAAGCATTTATTTCAATTAAACCATAATTTGGTACTTTTAAAACATCAAAAAATACAAAATAAATAATAGTCAGTCAGTCAGTCCGTCAGTGAAGCTAGGTGAAGCTAGGTGCTCATTCTAATTGTAAATTCGAATGGAGAAGAACAAGCAGGAAACTCCTTCAATACTCTTTTAAAAAAAACTGTTATATAATGTCTACAATAGAAATGAATAAAAAAGTCAAGTAAAACATCAACAATAACTGTATCACAAATCGAAACCGTGTCATGGCAGGTTGTGCAGAACTACTCGACCAGCTAATGTGCCAAAATTGGAGCCAAAAATAAAATTAAAAAGTTTAGACAATAGAGATGATGACAGGATATGAACATTCAATAGATTTTGAATTTTGATTAGATAGTAGATAGTCCGTCAGTTAGGCCATTATAAAATAAAAGACACGTATTTTTTCATTTTGTCGTATAAAAAGACAATACTTAGATAAGATGAATAAAATTTTATGAGTGGGAGTAAAAACATGAATCCTCCAAAATCCTTAAAATCCCAATTCCCAAAAGGCCGGTAACGCACTTGTAACGCCTTGGTATTTCGGGTGTCCACGGGCGGCGCCGATTGCTTACCATCAGGTGATCCGTCTTCTCGTTTGCCGGCTTAAGCTATATATAAAAACAAAAGTCATTTCTGCGTATAAAACGTTCATAGAAGTGACGTCACGCGATATTTCAAATCAATATATCCTATCAGAGTAGTCAGTTAAGAAATGACGACCTCATCTTTTGCTTGATAAAATTGACGTGTAAAAGTGCTCCGTTGTAGCCTATTTGCAGAAATAAATTCACTTGTTTCAGTTGTCGTAAGTTTTGTTTCTTCTGTAGGAAAATAAAATAATATAGAACCTATAACTACGAGTGTAGGTAAGTTTATTACAACTAGCTTCGTGATTTTAGGTAAAAGAAAAAAAATATTGGATAAAAATCCTATGTTCTTCTCCTGGTTCTAAGCTACCTCCCTGCCAATTTGCATCCAAATCGATTTAGTCATTCTTGAGTTATAAATAGTGTAACTAACACGACTTTCTTTTATATATATAGATAATAGATAAGTTATAAGTTAAAGTTTGCATGCTTTATTTATTAAGCAATACATGATGATCTATATATGATATTGTAACTATAACATCTTTGTATACCATGTTTTTGGGGATATTGACCATATTTTTGGGGATCTTTGTATACCATGTTTTTTTAAGGATTAAACATTATGGACTTTCAACTTTCAAGATAATACTAATGATCATTATGATAGGAGATTTCCTATCAGCACATTTCTGATTGCCAATAACACCATTTTGTCACTAGCAAGGAACCCAAAAACCGTGGGGTATTCCCCAATAAACAAAAACTGATTCAAATTCATTTAAGTACAAGTTCAGCTCTGACGTAAACTTTAATGATTAAAGAATGCCAACTCATACTAAAACGTGCCTACATATGTAGGTACATACCTACATATTTAGAGCATAATTATTTTCATTGGACATAACATAACATCACGCCTTTTATCCCCGAAGGGGTAGGCAGTGAGTGGTGCACATTACGCCACTTAATGCCACTGCACAATGCAACACCCACTTTTCACTATTTTATGTTATGAGTCCCATGAAATAGAGGATGAGCCTATTGTCATATACCGGGCAAGATTCCGGACTGCGTGCTACCACTGAGAATTTTTTAAAAACCCAGTAATACTTTGCCCGACCCGGGAATTGAACCCGAGACCCCTTGCCTGGCAGTTGCACTTGCGACCACTCGGCCAACGAGGCAGTCATTTTCAATATGCAGAAATCACAGAACATCTTCTACACATCCTTACCTAAATTAAGTAAAAACGCGGGTTACTCACGTGCACGTTTTACTTAATATAGTATGTCTCACGATAGTTATTATAAAAACATCCTTACCTATTTCTTTAGCTTCCTTCACATTCATGAAACTGGTCACACAACTACACCTATTAAGAGTGCTTTAAAATTGGCCTTGTAATATAGGTTTTTAATTGAATTATTCAAATGAGAATGCCCAAAACTGAGAGTCGATTAAAATCATTCATGCCTTATTTAATAGACCATAAGTAAGAGGTCACAAATACGGTATTCGCTTTGAAAGAAAGAAAGAATAATTGTTTATTGACACGCCGTCACAAAGTACAATAACACAAAAAAAAAATAATACAGTGAAGACGGCGCAAAAAGGCCAGGCCAAAACCATAACCACGTGAATAATTGGACTTTTTTCTATGTTTACTACTAGACTAATGAAAGCAATGAAGAATAAATATAATAATTACATTTACGAGAATTACAAGCAAGCCCCCAAAGCTAGGGATAGACTATGTATACATATGAATTATTATAATCGATTCTGAGTTTTTGCTCCATAATTTTTTTTTGGTATTGTCCATTCGTAGCCAATATTTAAGACTAATTACCTCATTTTTAGTGCGAGTAACAAAGAAGGAAAAATCGATTTTCGAAGTCCTTGAGTAGTTACATAATAACTCAGAACTCATTCTCGATTTTTTTTTATAAAACGGTTGCCTAACACTAGAATTTTCTCCTGTGTCGTGAGTGCGTTTACAAACATACAAGTTCACATACACATGACACTCAGACCCGGAATAATAATCTGTGGATCACACAAAGAGTTGCTCCGTGCTGGAATCCAACCCGCGACACGTTGCGCGGCAGCCAGTTGGGCAACCACTGCGCCAACCATGCAGTCAACAATAGATGTATGCAAGTGAAACAAGTGAATTTATTTCTGCTAATAGGCTACAAGGCAGCACTTTTACACGTCAATTTTATCAAGCGAACGATGAGGCCGAAATTGCAAATTGGCTGTTCCCTACAAAAGTGAATGTATTACAAATGTTATCTATTTATCTCATCTGAGATTAAAAAACGTAATTTTATTTTTTAACATCATGTTGTGTTGTATGAGAAATAAAAAAACGAACACGTATACCCACAAAACATTTATTTCTTTCACAATAATACCACAATAATTACACGATTGCAAAAATATATATAAAACAACAACATTTTTGGAGATCATGTCTAAATTATTAGAATATTTCACATTTTTATATCCAATGCAACATTCAACCTTGTCTTTAATTACTTAAACATAATAATTATAATTAAAAAATAAATGACAAACGTTCTTATAATAGTTATGCTAACTAATAATAAAGTACATTATGAAAAAATCAACAGAATATGAAAATTGTTACTTAATTTTTGATTAACCTCTTGAATGAGACAATAGAAAAAACCTTGTATCTCGAATGGATCCACGTTTAGACACACGGCGGGTTAAACTAAAGTTAAAAAGTTGACGGCTTACCTTCAGGAATAAAGAGGAAAGTTTTTTATAGCATAAGCCGGTAAACGAGCAGACGGATCACCTAATAGTGAGCAATCGGCGTCGCCCATGGACACTCGAAACACCAAGGCGTTACAAGTGCGTTACCGGCCTTTTAGGAATTGGGAATTTGAGGATTCGGGGATTCGGGAGACGGGGACGAGGGAGGATAATTAGACCTCCGGTAACCTCACTCACACGACGAAACACAACGCAAGCGTTGTTTCAATTGAAAAAGGTTTTTACACTTTTCATTTTACATCATACATCTCGAAATAACATTTTAAAAAATGATTAAGGGCCAATGTTTCAATATTCAGTTAATTCTTAACTGTAGAATGAAACTGAGTTCATAGTATGGAAGAATGATTCAAAGTAACTCCTCAGTTAAAATGTACGACATATCTGGCGTTGGAAATATTGGCCATTAGGTTCCACTGTTACACACTCTTTAAATTAGTATGCCTTTTTTTAAGGGGGGGAAATCATCGAATGACTGCTCCCGCCTGGGTGAGGCGGGAGGGAGTGTCAGACTCTTACTGACTAAAAACCACCCCGTTCCTTCTCCTGCACGTCGAGTCGGAGCCCCAGTTACCCGTTAGGTTCTCCGCGACCGTTAGGTTCTCCGCGACAAATTAGTATGCCTAAAGGTGTTCTATTGAACATGCTCAAAAATGTTCAATAAACGAACACCTGTCAATTCGCAAGCATGCCTAAAATCTGACTGCACGGTTGGTGCGGTGGCTGGGCAACCGGCTGCCGTGCAACGTGTCGCGGGTTCGATTCCCGCACGGGACAACACTTTGTGTGATCCACAAATTGTTGTTCCGGGTCTGGGTGTCATGTGTATGTGAACTTGTATGTTTGTAAACGCACCCACGACACAGGAGAAAATCCTAGTGTGGGGCAACGTTTTTTTTAAATAAAAAAAAAAATGAGCATGCTAATTTTGAGCAACATTCCGACACATATGCTACTAAGTGACAAGTACTCAATCAAAGCATGCTTTCATACTTGAAATTAGCCTTTGAAGATAAACACAATTATTAGAGTTCTTTAAAATATTTTGTCATTATATGATTGTTTTTGTTCAATATATTACATTGTGGTCATTAATGCCCTCTACACTCTGTAGTGTAGAGTCTACAGTGTAGTGATTGAGCTCGTATAAGTTTGAAATCGACATTCCGCCTTGAGCAGGCGTGGTGAGTAATTCTCCACCGCTGTGTGAGAAGGAGTATTTGCTTAGCAATAAACACTTATGGACAGAGAATGCTGATGATGATGATTGGCCTCCAAGGGCTAATTATGATTATAAGTCCCATACAGAAATTACAGAGTAGAATTATCCATAGCCCCGGGTAACTCCCGAGTACTATACGACATTCGACTCCTTACAAACATTCTAGATTTATAAAACTTGTACAAAATAAAACAAACTAATATTATCAATATTAAGGCTACACAAGTTTCAGTAAATATCGAGTTAGTCCCTTCATTGTTTGAAACCAATTTTTCGGTACCAGGGCTCGCAGTTATACCTATAGATTCTGTAGAATGGGTAACTAAAGAAAGTTTTCTTTCCATTTCATTAAGAATGTTTTGTTTTTCATCTGCTATTGTTTTTTCTAACAGCTTTTTGACATTATCTATGTATGGAATGAATTCAATACTGCTGTTTACATGCAGTATTGGCGCTGTTGTTGTAGGCGCAACAATATTCTTCTCAACGTTGTCTTGTAACGAATGTAAAATTTTTTTAAGCAATATATTTGTATCGGTGTCTAATTCAATTACTTTGAATGTTAAGTTAGCTAGTTTCGATAGGTTTTCGTTATTAATCTTATTGCTTTTTTCAATTACACTCGTTATATTATCAAAATATTTACTATTATCATTTTGTGGAACACTCTTATTACTGATATTGTATAAAATATTTCTCATATCTATAAGTATCTCGTTTTTCTCACTGGAGTTATCAAATTTTACTGTTGGTTCGAATATTGATCGCTCTACTTCCTTGTTACAAGTAACCCCATCAATATTCTCACCAGTATGTTCGTCTAGTTTTATTGCTGTTATTTCAAAAGGAACTCCTCGTTTTTTAAGTCTAACTAAAAGGCGACACGGTAGAGGATTCTCACCTATACTTAGCTTTGATAAGCTAGTACCAGCAAACTCCTCAACATTGATTGATTCAATTTTATTATGATCTACTATTAATTGCGTCAAACTTTTCACTTCATAAAACCTTTCACTTTGCAATTCTTTTATGCTATTAAATGACATATCAAGAGTATTCAAATAAATAAGGCCACGGAAAATTCCATAGCCAACAACTGATAAGCAATTGTGAGATATATTCAAATGGAACAAGACTTCATTGTCTTTGAATGCTCCAGGTTGAATGTAAGATAGTTTGTTATAACTTAAATCCAAATAGGTGAGTTTATTTATACCTGATAGCGCTCCTATCTCTAACCTAGTGACACTATTATTTCTAAGAGATAATCGATCTAAATGAGTTAATGTACTCAGATTTAATTTGGTAATGTTACTTAGTCCCGCATCTGATATAAAGACAACTTGTATGTTTGAATCCTTAGAACGCGTAAAATTAATGTTAGTTTTGATCCCTGATAAATTCAAAGTATTTAAATTTTCCGTGTTATTTATAAGATCTTCTGTGAATTTTAGTTTTTCGTTGTAAGAAAGGTCTAAGTTCCTTAAGTCAATTAGGCTTTTAAATGAATCATTTTGGATATTTTCCATGGAATTATAAGCTAAATTGATTTCAGTCAACCGCGACAGCCCGTGTAAAGAAGTTGAAGAAATAGTTTTAATTAAATTATTATTCAAAAGTAGAATGCTTAATCCGACTAATTCAGTCAAGTTCACGCAGAAGTTATCTAATTCATTGAACGACAAGTCGAGAGTTTCTACATAACCAGTGTTCACAAAAACATTAAATTGCAATTCTTTTATTTTACTCCGAGACATGTTTAAGTTTTTCAATTCGGTCATATCATTGAACGATGCGTTCTGGATAGTTGTCAGTAAATTACGTGATATGTCAAGACTAGGTAATGAGACTAAACCATCAAATGTTCCAGTTTTTAAAGTACCTGTAAAAGGATTAGCAGATATTTTCAAATTTATCAAACTCCGTAAGGATTTAAAAGAATTGGCTTCTAATTGGGAAATGGAATTGCCAGACAGATCCAAGAACTGAAGACTAGTTAAATGCTGAAAATTCTCGTGTTTTATTTGTACTAACCGATTATTTCTTAAAAACAAAGAATCGAGACGTATAAGGTCAGTTTTATCGAAATCTATACTGGATATTTTGTTAAAAGACAAGTCCAATGATAGCAAATTGGTCAATGTCCTGAAACACATATTTGATAACAAATAGATTCCATTATTATTGAGCGCCAAAGTTTCGAGCCTGACCATTTGGTTAAAGGCATAATCTTCTACTGTCGCCAGTTCTTGGAAGCTTAAGTCTAAAGTTGAAACATTGACACCTTCAAAAGTACCTTTGGTTAATGACCCTTCGATAAAGTTATCGCTCACTGAAAAGTTGTAAATAGATCTGTTTTTGAATAAGTCTTTAGGCAACTGTCTCAATTTATTCCGCGACAAGTCTATGCTTGTTAATGATTGCAAATTCTCAAATGCATCTTTGTTTAAATTTTCCAGTACATTGTTACTTAAATCTAACTTTTGCAACAACACCATATTGTGAAATACGTTATAGTTAATCGTTTTTATGGAATTAGAACTTAGATCAAGATATTCTAGATTATTTAACTTTTCGAAATCGGTTATTTTTACTTCTTTGATTCTGTTGCCACTTAGGCTTAAAGTTTTAAGTTCGCTAAATCTGAAGAGCGAAGAATTGATGTCAGTTAGTCTATTATGGGATAAGTTGAGGTGCACCAAGCTCCTTGTGCCTTCGAAAGTAAAAGGACTGAATCCCTCAATGTAGTTATGCGACAAGTCCAAAGTCTGTAAGTCGTCAATTTTGTCAAAAACTGCATCAGGAATTTTCACTAAGTAGTTATGGGACATGTTGAGTGTCTTTATTTTGGTATACGGTGTTTGATAGCTGCTAACAGTAATGTTACTGATTCTGTTAAAAGATAAATCTATTTCGGTTAACGCTTGCAATGCGTTACTATTTGATAGGGAAGCCGTACTTATCTGGTTCCTCGACAAATTCACTGTGACGAGATTTTGCATGGTTTTTAATACTGGGGTAATTTGATAATTGTTGTCACTAAGGTCTAAGGAATATATTACATCTAGTACGCCATCGTCTCGCCGTCGGTTCCAAGGACTGGATTCAGGGACTATTGTAGGCAGCAATGATTGTTCACTTTGTGTTACTTTGTACGTGAGGAAAATTCGATCGATGTGATATCCCATGTAGTTTATGGTCTTGGAGCATTCTTCAGTGTTTATCGGTTGGTCTGGACTCTGTCCATAAATATTGTGCTGGAAGTTGTCCCACCGTCTATCGATGTTTAAGAAGTCCTTGCAGAAAATGTTGTATTTACAGCATTCCGGATCGTACTTGAGAACACATTGTTGAGCGTAGCTTTGTGCTATGACAGCGAACATCCCTAAAAATTAAGAACAAGTTTAATGATAATAGCACGGGTATGCATAAACTTAATACCTAGCCCTTTCACTAGTCGAAGTAACTGGTGAAAGAATGTTAGTATTAATTTTTATCAATACTAGTGATATAAAAAATATCCTCTGCTTTAGCAGATCTGGAAAACAATAATAAAAGTTTTAAGGCCTCTCTTTATCAGAATTTTATGTGTAAAAGTTAATATTACAACAAACTGCAAGCAAGACTGGTTCGTTGGCCGAGGGGTCGCAAGTGCAACTGCCGGGCAAGGGGTCTCGGGTTCGATTCCCGGGTCGAACAAAGTACTACTGGGTTTAAAAAAAAATCTTAGAAGGTAGTAGCAAAGGACTTTAGAACTGTGCCCGATATAATATGGCAATAGTCTCACCCCCTATTACATGGGATTGATAACATAGATAGTGAAAAATGGGTGTTACATTGTACAGTGGCATTAAGTGCCATAATGTGCACCTCTGCCTATCCTTTCGAGGATAGAAGGTGTGATAATATTACTGTAAGCAAGTAGTATTAGCTTACTTATAAAAATGGTCGGTAACGCACTTGTAATGCCCCTGGTGTTCCAGGTGTCCATGGGCGACGCCGATTGCTTACCATCAGGTCATCCGTCTGCCCCTTTTACTTACACTATATGAAAAAAACTTACATAACAATATTATGCGAAAATCCATGGTCCAATACAGCCTCTGAAAGATAATTAATACATTTAATTTTAATTAGCGAAGCGAAAGAGGTATGTAGGTGTGGCGACATAATGTCAAATGATAGTCTACATAGACCTTCGATGAAAACAAAATCCTACATCGCACATATAAAGTTCATATGTGAATTAACACAGATAGAGAATCCCAACTAACAACTGTCGGGCAGAAAGCCTACCACGATCACCTCACCTGGTCGGAGGACCCTCTTTTTCCGATATTAGGGAACTATACTATCTGTTCCCTAAATAGGATTCGTGGTAATTGGCGTTCCATAGTATCTGCCTACCCCCATGGGAGACAGGCGTGATTTATGTATGTATGTATGTAATTTTGTTCTTGATCTTATTTTGTTAAGTTAATTAAGTCCGTTCGCATGTTTACAAAATCTAGGAAATAAGGGAAACCTATTATTAGCCTTAAACTGTCAAACACCAAGCGGTCACCGGTGACCGCAACCTATTGTTCTATAATTGTGTCTACAAAACCGGTACTGGACGAGTTAATCTCTGTAATTCACGCAAATTATTGTAAACTATTATGAACGCTGTTGGTTTTCTAAATAAATAAAATAAAATAATTACTGCTGTATTAAAAAGTTTTAAAATCCTTAGATACCTATTTGTTTATAACCTAAAAAGATAATTTAGTCAACGAATTCGTTTCGTGGTGATATTGATTCTCAATTTTATCTAGGTATTTACTTCCATTGAACTGTCAAACACCAAGCGGTCACCGGTGACCGCAACCTATTGTTCTAAAATTGTGTCTACAAAACCGGTACTCGACGAGTTAAAGAATATTTTTCATACTCTTAACTTTCTTTCAAATGCTTAAAGATGGTAATAACTATAGAACAATGAGAAATAGTAGAACGAAACGTCTATCTTCTTCTTCCTATACCTATGTATAGGTAACCTATACCTATGTTTTTTTTTTTCTTTTTGGCAACGGAGTCTCCAATACAGTGTTGTCGACTATACTGCCAGTGTCGAACCTATATGTTATTCCTAACCATAATCTATTCCCGTTCAAATTTCATCCCGATCTCTTTACCCGTATTTACGTGATTAAGGAGTTTGTTGTTAAATCACACAAATGGACACAGAAACTTTATAGGTAACTAGATTTTACCCGCGGCTTCGCTCGTGTCACAAAAGGATCATCATTCCTCATCGTTCGCTTAATAAAATTGACGTGTAAAAGTGCTGCCTTGTAGCCTATAATCGCAGAAATAAATTCACTTGTTTCACTTGTTTCAGGATAAAAAGTAGCCTATGTGACATACCTATACTAATACACACAGCACCATCTATACCAATAATTTCGTTTTCCCTCGAGAATATAAATAAATTATTTAATCCAGACTTCTAACTTTACGTCTGCAAAAATTCAAAGCAATCGGTTTAGTAGTTACGACGTGAAAGCGGAACAAACAAAGACACAAACTCACTTTCCGATTTATAATATTAGTAAGGATATTGAGCTATTATTATTATCTTGATACTTAATTTTGTAATGCTTCCATATCTTAAACACAAAACACATTGTTTCTCTTTTGTTTTTCTTTATTTAAAAAAACATTGCCTCAAACTAGGATTATCTCCTGTGTCGTGGGTGCGTTTACAAACATATAAGTTCACATACACATGACACCCAGACCCGAAACAACAATTTGTGGATCACACAGAGTGTTGTTCCGTGCGGCAATCGAACCCGCGACACGTTGCACGGCAGCCGGTTGCCCAGCCACCACACCAACCGTGCAGCCTGCATATTGTAACACCTAGTATTTGCAAATAGGTAAATAATCTATTCAGTTCTATTATATTCTATTCACGTTAATCATCAGTGGTGTCATTTTCGAATTGATCAAGAATGTGATATGATTTATCGTTTAGTTATTGTTTTCGCTTAGGTACCATAGTTTTCAGTACGTTAATGAACTTATTTCTATTTGCAATGGGTCACTATCAACCAGTAACCAATTCACTTGAGTGTTACGGCCGTTCCCAATATTCAATCCATAGGTAAAGATAGATAGCTATCCTCGATAGTCAGTTAAAAGCTATCTATCTTTCGATGTCGTCCCAATAACTAAAATGTGTCTTTGCTATCTCTAGATATCAGTAGATAGGGTGCCTATCTGAGCCCTCCCATGTGTTTCATTGTATGCAGAGCCCCACAGAGTGCCACTAAGTTACAATAATGTTTTCAAAGCATCTTGTCATGTTTATATCACAAACATTTTGAATTAATTAACGAAACCTTATATTTTGCACAAATTTTATAGTAAACAATATATTTTTTTAAGTTAAATATAACGAAAACTTCATGTTTGCGACTGGATGAGTGCGCGACTTGTAACGGAACGTGTTTGTTAAAACATTGACATTTGACATTGTTGTTTGTTGATTTTGTTTACAATAAATTATGATAATATAACAAAGAATTGTTTGTTATAATAAATGAGCTCAGTAAGTATTACAGTTTGTGCTTTTCTAGCTTTAGATTGAAGCTATTGAAGTTTAGTTCTATGGCTTTCACTGAACTTTTATACTTGGATTGTTGAATATTTTTTGTTGTTTGCATGAACATACATGTGACTAATAACTCGTGTTTGGTGCACTCATTGTAGCAAAAGAATATGCTATTGACGAAAGAAGAAGTAATGCAGCTGGTACAATTGGTGGAGGCAAATCCATTGATGTTCAGCAAAGTCACAAATGCCAGCAATAACCAGCTCAAGGATGCGACTTGGAGGATTAGGTATCACAGATAGTTTCTTGTATATTTCATTTTTGGGGTTTGGTATTGGTTATGACTATTTACTTTTCAATACTGTTTAGTTATAAAACTTTTATATGGTGAGGAGCAAAATGGAATAATACACTATAAATAATATTATAATTATAAATAATATTTTTCTAGGAAAACAGAAAAGACGAGCTGATGCAGATGATATGAGTCAATAACAGATCGAAAAGAAATACATGCATTAAAGAAACGGAAACTCTAGCTAGATATACTGGAGAAGGAGAAACAACCCAATAATAATTCATATAATTAAATAAAATAAAACAGTTTATTCTAAACCATCTTTTTATTACACTATGCATTTTGCACATTCAATGTTTATCTCATTTCTCGTCCACTGGAACACTTAATTAAAATAAAGATGTAGGTATGAATAACGGACAAGTATAAAATTCTCTAATTTAGTCTTCTTAGCCTAAATCTATACACAAACTCGTAATCGTCATATCTGTACATGTAATTAACACGCTCTTGATATGGTCGTGTTGTGGTAACCACATCGTCCTCGTCAGATTCCCAGTTCCTTATTTGTTTCAAAATATCAATAGCACTTGAACTACTACTTGAACTGGAGTCCGAAATGATTTTTTGTTTAAATCTGATGTATTTTTAAGAAATAGAAAAGATATATATACTGATCTTCACTGATAACTATACTCCTATCCCTCAAAATCCTGCGATAGAGCTAAAGCCTACTAGGGATAACCAAAGTCACTGACAGATAGCACCTTTGTTATTATTGGGACGCATGAACTGTCAATTTCATAGTAAAAGCAATCTGTAGATAACCTATCCGTCCTCCCACAGGTAATGACAACCATAGATTAGTTTGCCTATCGCCAGTAAGTTTATTGAGACGGCAAATTTAAAGATAGATAGATTTTTCTATCTCCAGTAGGGCAAAACAAGGGATAGATAGAATATTGGGAACGGCCGTTAAAGACCCAGTTTATATCCATCGGGAAACACAGAGAAAACAAAGAAAAGTAAATCGTCCACCGTTATAAAAGGCCGGCAACGCACCTGTGACTCTTTGGTGTTGCGGAGGCGTTGCTGATCGCTTACCATCAGGTGATCCGTCTGCTCGTTTGCCTTCTATTCCATAAAAAACACTGGCAAATTTTTCGTGATGTTTTTCGTGTGTAAGTGATAAGTGTAACATGTCTGTATATATGTACGTATCTAATTATTAATATACCGGCGTCTGATACTGATTGCTATAGTTAAAATAACTTAAACTGTCAAACACCAAGCGGTCACCGGTGACCACAACCTATTGTTCTATAATTGTGTCTACAAAACCGGTACTCGACGAGTTAATACCCAAATTCACTTCAAAGACATAAACGAGAGAACAAAGGAATATATACTTACATTATTATTTATCTGAACTTGAAACTAATAATCTTGTATTTATAAAACATTGAAATGTGTCCGTTCTATAGCGACTCCTACAGAGAAATGTGCGAACTGCGCAATATTCGTTTAGGGTCCAATTGCAGAACAGAGCATCAATTTATACTCATAAAAACGGGGTCAGTGAGTTACAAGCATAAAAAATGATTCGACTATATTATATTTTTATACTTTGAATTTGTATTGTAAATAGAAATATTTATGGCTAGCTTCTGCAACTGGCTGTGCTCGCGTCCCCATGGATTTAAAAGCAGCCTATGTGTTATTCCAAACCATGGTCTACCCCTGTTTTAAGTCTTATCCCTATCCCTTCAGCCGTTTTGATGTGATTGTGTAACAAACGTACACACAAACATACAAACTTCCGAATTTATAATATTAGTAAGATATTGACATGGTAGGTCCATAATCTATAATGCTATAAAGATATCTATGGTCTTATCTCTTTATTTTTATGTCGTAATTAGTTTCTGCCCCCGACTTCGTACGCGTAATCCCGTTTTTCCCCGTTCCTATAGGATTTTCGGGGAATCCTTGAATAATATTCTAAAATCGATTTAGCCACTCTGGAGTTTTAACTCGTCGAGTACCGGTTTTATAGACACAATTATAGAACAATAGGTTGCGGTCACCGGTGACCGCTTGGTGTTTGACAGTTTAAATAGTGAATTATATGCGACTTTTTTATAAGAATTTTGTTTTACTAGGTATAATAGGGTAGTTTCCAGGGTAAGAAAATTAAAAATGTAATTCTCTATGGCCGTCAGGTAGATAATGAAAAAATATTAGACA